CCCCTCCTCATGGCGATCAAGGTGAAGGTGGCGGGGCGGGGCGGGGCGGGGCGGAGCGGTTGGGTGTTCGCGGGTCGACGCTAACCACGTTGCACAAGGTGCAGCACGTCGTCGCCCAGCCCGCACGGACGCTGGGAGCGTCCGCTGGGAAGTCCTTGTCACCCCCGGTGGACCGCGCCGGCAGACACAGCCCGGAGGAGACAGAGAAAGACACCTGAACTGACCCAGAGAGTCGCTCGTCTCGTCCGGGAACGCCAAGGCCTAGGTCTCCGGGAGCCACCAAAGCCAAGGTCGGAAGGTCCTTCCCCAGACCGGCACCGGGGGGAACTTGTTTCACGGCTTGCGGACAAATAACCCATAAAAAGTTCAGTTCCTCGCCACTAACGTAAGCAAAGATTGCTCCTACATGCAAGGGGGGAGGGGGCAGTCTGTGCCTTTTTTGGGAAGGAAAGAGGATTTTGTTTTAGCATATTGGCTCTCTGCCAAGGTTTAAGGACCTTAAGCAAAAATCAGTAATGAAGTGGTCTAAAAAAAGGAAAAAAGACTTACTCCATTTGTTTTTAGCGAGGGGGCAATAACTCCCTTTTGGTGTGTACATATGATTCCCGAAATCCTTGATTCCCAGTGATTCTCGTCAGCTTATTTTTATTCCTTATTTTTTCTATTTGTAGAAAACGCTTATTTCGACCAATTTGTACCAGTTCCACTTTGTTAAGGCGATTTCGGTTGATTTCGATCAATTTTTATCCTGATGATTCCCGGAGTTGTTGCCCCCTCTTTTTTCAGATAAAGTATTTAACAGGTAATGAGAAGGACCAATCCCGAGTAGCAAACAATTAACCATTGCGCGAAATCACCCAATTTCATGCAACTTTCGGGAGGGAATTCCCTTGAGAAAAGGCGGCACGGTAGAATAGATCTCTCCTCGTAAACGCGAAAATGCGTCGCGTGAACGTCATTTTCAAGACCATTTCGGGTTGAAAAAAAAATTTGATTTGAAACGCGCCATTTGATGTCAACGACCAACGATCCATTGTAGACGCGAAAAAAAGGAACAGCCCCCGATTACACCTCGGCAAACTTCCTACCGGAATGAGCGTCGAACAGTCGGTAATGTTTGTACCTCCACAAGAAGCAGAAGAACGAGAGGGGGGCGGGCGGCACGTGGCACGTGACTCCCGGGTCACGCGCTATAATGTATAAGTTCGGGTTTTCTTTCGGAACGGTGAAGAGCTGCTACCTTTTATTATTATTCGTCGCCTTTCTTTTTGTTTCTTTTGGCGGGCCGACGCGCGGACGACAGGTCGCAGTCGATCCGCGCGTTTTGTTTTCCAAGAATAGGGCAACGAGCGCCAAAACAACACTCTGTTTTTAGACAGTCCCCTAAAGACTGTCTCAACCAGAAGAAAAAGTCTCGATTTGAAAATTCACGCGCGATTTGTGCACCGCTTCCGTATTAGGCGCGAGTGCGGCGAATACCGCTTTTAAACGCACCGCATTTACCCGACCATTTTAATTGGGCGTATCTCGCGACCGCGGGACGACCTCATCGAATATACTGGCCACACTGCGCCTCCGGCGGGACCCACGATTGTGCGATTCCGTCGATTGCACGATTGTGCCGAACAAGCGTTTGTCTTGCCGTGCCATCACTGACGCTCTCTCTCTCTCTCTCGCTCATCAGGAGGACGCGATCGGGTGCGGCGGTAAGTTTATTGCGGACGATAGACGATCCTTGTGGCGCGGTGCGCGTCGTGGCCTAGGCCACGTCAAGACGAGTTTAGAGGCGGCCGAGCAAAAGACAAAACGAATGGGGGAAAAAGTACTTTTAAAAAAGAGCAGACTGTAGTGCAGCTCGCATTAAATCAAAATAACGATGAGGATGAGAGGATCGGTAGTTGGGGGG